TCCTGTAGCTCTCCTCCACTCGTAGCTCTGCCACTGCTGCGCATAGCTTGCTGCCCCGCCCTCCTGCTGATTGGTCATTAAGCTTCACCGCATAATGACCATTTGCATATTACCTCTTTATTATATAGGATATGTAAAAGAAGCAGTTCCTGCCGAGGCTTGTGTGTGCAGAGGGGGAGAACTGTGTCTTTCCCTCCATCTGTCTGTCCCTTGTCCATCAGAAGTCAACAAGCGTTCATAGGCATCTGCTGGTGGCTGGACCAGACCCACAGGCAGTACAATGGTGCCTTGGGCAAGTCTTGGCCTGAGATAGGGGCTGCATAGGGCCTGTTCTCCCAGCTGGATATGTCAGGCTCTGTCCCTCCTCCAGGTTAGTTTTAAAAATTAATTTCTTCAAAAAAATAGGGTGGCTCATTCAGAAAATAATTGGTCCCATCGTGGTCTGGGAGGAGCTCCACATCTGGGTGTGGTCTCTGCCATCCCCAGCCTGACCCAGCCAGTGGGAGCGACCACCCTCCCCTGCAGCTGCACGACCTCTTGCAACAGACTCAACCCTGAGCCGTTGCCCCTCTTTCTGAAGATGTGTGGAGGCCGAGAGTTACAGGGTCACTGCCCTCACAGGCATCACGCTGTGGAGGGGCCAATGATGAGGGTGAGAAAAGGAATGTCAGAGAGCAGGTGGGGACATGCAGATGGCAAAACTGGGGAATGTGGCCTGAGTAACAGGACAGGGAGGTGACTGGGTGGCCACTCTGAGGGGAGGCTGAGACCTGAAGGCTAAAGGGCCGGCCTTGGGGAGACCTGGTGAAGGCTTGTTTGGGGCAGAAGGAATGGCGTGGTGCCAGTGCCCCGAGGTGTGTGTGTCCCCATCCCTTGCACCGCCCCCCACAGAGTTCAGACACCTTGGGTGGGGAAGCAGGAGGACATAGGAGGTATGGTTTGTGGAGGAGGCCAGGACTGTGGTGTTGGACCTACTTTGGCAGCCCTGGGATGAAGGACCTGGAGCTACAGAAGACTCAGGTGGTCACCGCTGGGTGGGCTCTGGGTTAAGGGGCCCCCACATGAGGTCTAGAATGTTCCACCCTGGTCCACCACTGGCTTCCTGCCTTCTCTTCCTTCTCCACATCCCAAACTCAAACCATTAATTGTTCTGTTGAGCATCCAATAAAATATTATGTCAGCTTTCCAGCATCTTCCGGCCCCCACTTGCCACCGGCAGAGCCCCGGGATGTGCCAGAGCCCAGGTTCGTCCCTGTGGCCAGGATGCCCGGATGGAGAGCCTCAGACATCTGCGAGTAGGCACCAAGGGTCTGGCCTGACTCCCATCTAGCTGGCGTATCTTAGTCCAGCTGCCCTGTCTGGGGCCCTGGGGAGTGACTCAGTCTGTTGGCTTTGTCCCCTGGCCCAGGGTCCCGTTTGGTGGACCCTGTGGCCATGAACTTAGTCTCAGCCAGTCGCCCCCTCAGCCTCAGTTTCCCCATCTGGACCATGTCCTAGGGAGTCTCAGCACCCCACATACACAGGTGGGCATTCAGGGTGCGGCTGGGGTGATGGTCATGGCTAAAAGAGGACACGAGTCCACATCCCTGCTGCCCTGGTTGCACCTATGGCTGTGTCAGCTTGGGGTTGTTTTATATGTTTTTTATTGAGAGATAATTCATATACGATAAAATTCACACTTAAGCATACAGTTCAGCATTTTTTGTACCTTTACAATGTGCAACTGTCACTGATTGGAACAGCAGGTTCCTCCTCTGCTGGGTAAGATTGACCCCTGACCCCTCACCTGGGCCTGCCTCTCTCTTCCTTCCTGACCCTCACCCTTCCAGGCTGCCAGTCCACTCTCAGAGTTCCAGCTCTGACTGCACCCTGATGATCCCCACAGTCCTGTCTCCAGCCAGGGCTCCCCTGAGCTACAGACTCGGGGTCCATCTGCCCCTAGATGTCTCCACGTGGACGGCTCACAGGGTTCTCACACTCAACACAGCCACAATGCGCCTGTCCATCCCCCCAAACCTCCTGCCCATCCCCGTCAGCTGGCAGCTCCTTCATTCTGTTCATTGCTTCAGGCAAAATCCTTAGTCATTTCGGACTCCTTGCCTCTTCACTCCACCTCCAGTAAGCACAGCCTGTCTGTCCTAACTTTAGATCTCTCCAGAATCCGCCCATTTCTCCCCTCTCCTGGCCTCCACCTTGGTCCACCCCATCAGCTCCCACCTAGACCAGGCAGTCCTCTAGCCCTGCTTGGTCCCTGGCTCCTGTCCTAGCCCCCCACATCCACTCACAGTCTGTCATCCCCAGCAGCCACCAGAAGGCGCCTGTGAGCACCTATGTCATGGCCAAGCCACAGTCTTCCAGGGCACCCAACCTCCCTCAGGGTCAAAGCCCAAGATCTTCTTTGCTAATCTGTGCCCAAGGGCAGGGGCCAGGCCTGTCCTGGTCATCACTTGCTTCCCCCCAGTGACACCTAGTGAATGAGTTTCCTGTTGCAGCTGAAACAAATCACTGCAATTTTGCCTTAAAACCACACACATTTATTCTCCGACCGTTCGTTCTGGGGTCGGGAGTCTGACATGGATCCCACTGGGCTAAATCCAGGTCTGGGTAGGGCTGGTTCCCTCCCGAGGCCCCAGGAAGAACCATTTCTGGCCTTTTCTAGCTTCTAGAGGCGTCACATCCTTGCTCGTGGCCCCTTCCTCTGTCTTCACAGCCAGCAACGCAGCCTCTTCCATCATTCACTCTGACCCTCCTGCCTGCCTTTTATAAGGACCCTGTGATGACACTGGCCCCCTGGGGATCTAGGGTCATCCCCATCCCAGGGGCCTTAACTCAGTTCTGCCTGCAAAGCCCATTCTGGGATCAGGATGCGGACACCTTTTGCGGGGAGGGGGCATATCTGCTGGCCACCCTCATTGGGCAGATCATCTTCAGCAGAAGCCACTTTCCTGGTGAGGACAGCAGGGCTCAGAGGTCAGTGGCAGGCCTGAGGCTTCCCTGCTGGGAACCGGAGATGAGGGAATGGTCTGACGGAGGAAAATTGCCTGCCTTCCTTAGGCCAGCGAAGCGCTCCTGGAAGCTGTGGTAAAACCAGTCCTTGGCTGGCTTTCCATAGCTGGCTCCCTAGACAGGGCCAATAGAGCTGGCACCATTGCTCCAGCCTGGGCCCCAGCCATTGCCTACTGACCATAGCTCCCCAGAGCCCCGGGCCCTCCCTACAGCACCATCCCGACCTCGACCCTCCAGGTCCCCTGATTTCTTTGTGACCCAGGTGTCTCCTGGTTAAGCCCTGCTCCTACCAGCAGAGGAAGGGTGGCACTTTGTAAATGCAGTTCCTTAGTTCTTTCCACTAAGGACCTGATGTCTTTGGGGTAAATGGGGGGTCAGAGTTGGGGGGTGGTCTCTCCTGCTGTTCCTGCCTGGGGGGTACCCAGCATCCAGTCATCCCGCCATCTCAGTGCCCTGTGTCTATGCCCCCCTTCCCCACAAGGGGTTCTTGTGGTCCTCCCTAGGGACACAATGCCCAGTGAGGCTGTAGGCGCCTGTGTGTCAGGGAGGGGGCATGGTGACAGTGGCCCGAACCCCCTTGGAGCCCCTGCAGAGGCAGGTGCAGGTTGATGGTAGGCCCTGTGGGTTGGACTCCCCGCTGCCAGTCTCACGTCTCCCTTCTCTTCCTCAGGTTTGGCCCAGAAAAAGACGGCCCTGACGGAGGTGAGTGTCCGTGGGTCCTATCCTGACTTGCCTCCTCCAGAAGACAGCACCAGCCCTGCTCGAGTTCTGCTCTGTGGCCTTGGGCACCTCACTGTACCTCTCGGGGGGGCCCAAATGATGGCAGATGTGAGGGGGGGAAATCCCATCCCCCGGCCCGCGTGGGGAGTTTCCCACAGGGGTTCCGGTGCGGGAGGGATGACGCCCAAGAACTTGGCCCTGGGCCAGTGAGGGAAAGGGAGGGGAGGCCAGAGAGGTGAGAAGGAAGTTGGGCAAGTGCCAGTCCCTGAGGATCCTGCCAGGAGGGTGGTGCCTGACCAATGCCTGACGAGCAGCACCTTTAGTGTAATGTCCCTAGGCAGCCCACATGGGAGCACAGGGTCCTTTCCGTCCTCCACGCCTGTGAGCCCATCGTCTTCACTATCTTCCAGCCATGTTCCTAGAGAGCTTTCCCTGTGACGGCCACTCTCATGCATATATGGCGCCATGCTGTCCCGTGGGCCCTGCTGCCTGTCCTCAGTGAGGGCGGTACAGAGGGGTCCCCACTGTGGTTAGTTTCCTGTCACTCCAGAAGGTGGCCCGGGAGGGGCGTATCTGAGCCCCATTTTACAAGAGGAGCAGCCCAGGTGTGGCTTGCCTGCACCTGTAGCAGCAGGAGTCCTGCCTACGCATGCTTTGTCCCTATCCCTTGGTGCCAGTCACCATATGAGTCCTTCTATGGAGGGCATTGTCCACTTGCTGGGGCCCTGCGGTGGGCTCAGTGCAGGACAGTGGGAGGGAAATGGGTGGGCCTAGGGGCTCCAAGGGCAATAGGGAGCCAGTGAGAGGTGTGAGGCAGGGGCAGCAACAGAAGGTTCCTGAGGGAACCTTGCCCCCTAGTGGCCAGTGTGCAGAACACACAGGAGCCAAGCTGAGGAATGTTGGCCGGTGGGGGGCATTTGAGGGCTGCCTGGAACTGATGGGCAGTGCAGGTTGGGCTGGTGGCCTGAAGGACTGTGTGAGATTTTTGAATGGTGGTAGGTACATGGTAGGTACTTCTTTTTTTTTTTATATATATATTTTATTGATTTTTTTTTTACAGAGAAGAAGGGAGAGGGATAGAGTTAGAAACATCGATGAGAGAGAAACATCAATCAGCTGCCTCCTGCACACCTCCTACTGGGGATATGCCCACAACCAAGGTACATGCCCTTGATCAGAATCAAACCTGGGACCTTTCAGTCTGCAGGCCGACGCTCTATCAACAGCCAAACCGGTCAGGGCAGTAGGTACTTCTTAAATGTCAGTGACAGGTGGAGCCACCAAAGAGGCACTCAGTTCCTGTCTGCTGGCTGGCCTTGGCACCTGATTCTAAACTGGCTTCTGTGTCCCTCCAGGCTCCCATTGCTCCTTCCACTGTCCCCTCTTGTGACGGCACACATGGGGGCCAGTAGCTTCCACACAAGTGTGTTGGGATGGCCAATGTCACACCTGCCACAGCTGTCCCCTAGAGCTTGCAGGAGCTGGGCCTGCTCCCAGGAGGAGGTGCGTTTGTAATCATTTCAGCCCAGAGGGCTGTTCGGCCCCCAGGGGACACGGAAAGATGTCTGGGCACATCTGTGCTTGTCACACTGGGGTTGTTCCTGGCATTGAGTGGGTTGGGACCAGGAATACTGGTTAATCGCCCAAAGTACCCAGGAAGTCCCCCCACAGAGAATGACCTGGCTCCAATGTCAGCAGAACTGAGGGAAAGACCCTAAAATTAGGCCTGGGTGGTCGGGGCTGCTGGCTTCCAGCTTTTTCAAGGAGCTGGTGATCTGGTCCGCATGTGGGCCCTTCTGGATGTGAGGTATTGCCCACTGGGTGTACAACCTGCCCACACAGCTTTCTGTCCCCGCTTCCCCCCGCACGGCCCACATGGCCCAGTCCTGGCTCCAGCTGGGCGCGGTGACTAAGCTCCTCTCTTGCCAGAGTTTCTGGAGTGCTATGGCCTCGGTGGCTCCTCCTTGCTGACTTCTAATGCTTCCTGTTTTCTTTTCTCTAGGCCCCGTCAGTGACTGGACAGCCGGGCCCTGGTCACGGGAGGAAGCTGGGCCATCGGGGCGTGGACGCATCTGGTGAAACCACTTACAAAAAGGTTCTTCCTCTGCCCTTAGCCAGCTGAGGCGGAGTGAAGGGGGGCTCTCAGCAGTTCAGGGGACCCATCTGCCCCACACGCACAGGCACAGTGTCCACTGAAGGTCATGGGCCCCTCAGTGCTGCGAGGTCCCTGCTGCGTGTCATCATCTCAGGCAGCCTAGGGATGTGCTCTGAGGCTACACAGGCTGCGTGGCCTTCCTGATTCCAGGAGTCACCTGTCTCCTTGGTGAGCCCTCAGCTCCCAGCCTGCTGGCTCATCTAGCGATAGAGGAAATTATCCCTTTTCTCCTCAAGAAAGCAGGGCTGAGATGAGGTGGTAATGGGGAGCTCTGAGCCAGGCCCGGCCACAAGAGTGTGCAGGGAACCTGGACCCCGCTGCCATTAGTCCTCCCTTTCTCAGTTATACTTCCCGATACATCTTTGCTGAGAGAGGGTACACACACCATGTGATTTCCCCCCTTTGAAGTGTACAATTCAATGGTCTCTAGAGAATTCACAGAGTTGTGCAGTTATCACCACAGTTAATTTTAGAATATTCCCATTTCCCCTAAAAGATACCCCATCCCGGTCTGGCTGGTGTGGCTCAGTGGTTGAGCATTGACCTATGAACCAGGAGGTCACAGTTCTATTCCCAGTCGAGGCACATGCCCAGGATGTAGGCTCAAGCCCCAGTGGGGGCATGCAGGAGGCAGCCGATCAGTGATTCTCTCTCATCATTGATTGATGTTTCTATCTCTCCATCTCCCTTCCTCTCTGAAATCACTATATATATACATATATTTATTTATTTATTTTTAAAGATACTTTATCCCTATTAGTAGTCGCTCCCCATCCCCCTACCCACTTCCCATCTCTGGATGTGCCTGTTCTGGACATTTCACATAAATGGACTCACACGCTGTGTAGCCTTTTGGATCTGGCTTCTCTCACTGAGCACCATGTGTTCAAGGTCCATCCACATTGTAGTGAGTGTCAGTGCTTCGTTCCTTTTCATGGGTGAGTAATATTCCACCCCGTGGGTGAACACATTGTGTTTTTCCATTCACCCATCGCTGGACATTAGGCTTGTTCCCCTTTGGGGCTGTTACGAATAATGCTGCCGTGAGAATTTGTATGCAAGTTTTTACAGACATGCTTTTATCTCTTTGGAGCATATACGTAGCCGCGGAATTGCTGGTCACACAAACTCTTTGTATACATTTGAGGAACTATTAGACTGTTTAACACAGTGGCTGCCTCATTATCCATTCCCACCAACTGTGCAAGGGGATTCCAGTGTGTCCTGGTCCTCACCAGCACTTGTCTGTCATTCTGATTACACCCATTCTAGTGCATGTGAAGTAGTATCTCACAGGTTTTGATTTGCTTTTCCTGAAGGTGAATGGTGTTGCTTATCTTCTCCTGCGCTGTTGGCCATTTGTGTATCTCCTCTGGAGAAACATGTGTTCCATTGATGGCATCTTGAGGGAGTTGAGTGTGGAGGGTAGAGCAGGCCCTCTCAGTGAGGGGGTTCAGGAGAAGAGGCAGCTGGAGGCTGCGAGACCCCCGCACAGGATGGACTTGCTCAGGGGCAGATTGCACCTGTGACGGGTGCTGGGGCCCAGAATCAGAGACGGAAGGTTGAGATAGCTTTCCTCAGTGACGCACATGCTGCTTGGAGCCACAGTGACACCGTAAACCACAATGACGAGAAAAGTGCAAACAGCGAATGCTTCTTAGGCACAGGCAGCTTTTGGTCCGGACCACTCACACGAACTAACACACTGTCATCTCCATCCCTGGCTACAGATGGAGAAACAGGCACAGAGCCAATGTCGTTCTCTGGTCATGATGATATGAATCACCTAGAAAGTGGGTAGAAGAAACCCAGGTCCACAGAAATGAAGTTGGGTGTCTCTCCATATGTTGTGTCCCCTTCTTCCAAAAAACCCTGATGGTGGATAGACTGCTGCTGCATCAGGGCAGTTTTGAGATGTTGGAATGTTCTAGAATCTTGATTGAAAATGGGCCTTGGGGTCATAAGAGGCAGTATTGGAGTCTTAGTCAACCCACTTCTTTGCTGTGTAGCTGTGCAGGCCAAGCGACTAGCCTGAGGCCCACACATCTGTAATAAATGCTAGTAGGACCCTGGGGCCCAGGGCTGGGGTAGGGGCTGGCCCAGGGGTAGGTCTTGATGTGGCTGCGTTTCCCCACAGACCACGTCTTCCACCCTGAAGGGGGCCATCCAGCTGGGCATTGGCTACACCGTGGGCAACCTGAGCTCCAAGCCAGAGCGAGACGTGCTCATGCAGGACTTCTACGTCGTGGAGAGCATCTTCTTCCCCAGGTAGGCCTGGCTCCCACGCCTCCCAACAGCCCCCCGACAGACACAGTGTTGTCATACGAAACAGCCTCGTGTTCTCTGAGCTCCCTTCTCTGCTGCAAATAACCTTTACTGGTGCCTGTTGGACTTTGAGGTCTGACTCGGTATCCATTAGGATATTAGTTTGCTGCTGAGTCAGAGAGAGCCGGTGTAACTGGTGTTTTTTGTAATAGGGAAAAGAGACGTTTGTTTCTCTCTTTCTCACACATACAGAAAAGCCTGTAGGCAATCCAGGGCTGGTCAGGTGGGTCCTGGGTTCCTTCTTGTTGCTCCTCCATCCTCAATATGCAGCTTTTCTAATCAGCAGCCCAGGTGGCTGCCTAGGCTTCTGCCATCACATCTGCATTCTGACAGCAGGAAGGAGAAGGGGAAGGGCAGCACATTCCCTTTCCTTTAGGGCACAACCAGGAAAGGACACGCAGCATTTCTGCCCCACTCACAGCTCATTGGCCGGGTACAGCCACCTGACCACACCTGGCTGCAAGAGAGGCTGGGAAGTGGTCTCGTTACAGGTGGTCATGTGCCGCGTTGTGGACTCTTGCCAAGGAAGGAGTGGAGACAGGATACTGGGTCTCCTGAGACTGGCCACAGCCCTGGGTCCCCTTGGAAGCCTCAAGTTTCCTTTCAGTTTGGCCACTGAGGGAAGGCCGTGGAGCACAGCACCTAGAGGCACCATCCCTCACAGGCTTTCCTCCCTCCTTCCTCCACAGTGAAGGCAGCAACCTTACTCCCGCTCACCACTTCCAGGACTTCAGGTTCAAGACCTATGCACCTGTCGCCTTCCGCTACTTCCGGGAGCTCTTCGGCATCCGGCCAGACGATTACTTGGTAGGTGTGTTAGTCAGTTGTTGCTCTGTAACAAGTTAGCACAGACTCAGTGGTTCAAAACACCACCTGGCTGTAACCTCACAGTTTTGGTGGATCAAGAATTGGGTGCAGCTTAGCAGGGTTCTTTGCTCAGAGTTATAATCAAGAGGTGGGCAGTAGTTGGGGTCCCATGTGACACTAGACTGGGGAAGGGTCCAAGGCCAAGCTCATGTTATCATTGGCGGGACTCAGTTCCTCGCTGGCTGTAGGTTGGGGCCCCTTTTCCTTCAACACAGGAGGGAGGAAGAGAGCCTGCCAGCAAAGCAGACATTACTGTCTCCTATGAGCTCATCATAGATGGGACCCCCCACCCACTCACCACTCTCCTTCCAGTACTCACTGTGCAATGAGCCTCTGATTGAGTGGCTTCTCCTTGCATATCTGAATTACCAGCATCATTGCTCTTTCACTTTGGGTCCATTATTAAGTAAAGTGAGGCTCACTTGTACACAACCACTGTGACACTGTGACAGTTGATCTGATAACAGAGACAGCTACTAAGTGACTAACTGGGAGGGATCATAGATGGGACCCCCCACCCACTCACCACTCTCCTTCCAGTACTCACTGTGCAATGAGCCTCTGATTGAGCTGTCCAACCCTGGCGCCAGCGGCTCCCTCTTCTACGTCACCAGCGACGATGAGTTCATCATTAAGACGGTGATGCACAAAGAGGCAGAGTTCCTGCAGAAACTGCTGCCCGGCTACTACATGGTAGGGGTCATGGGTTCCCGCAAGGTTCCAGGGGGTGGGGGCAGTGTCCTGGGCTTCCTTCCAACCCCTGACTGCCTCCCCCAACCTTATACCCCTCTTCCTCTCAGCACATGCAGCAATTCCGCTCTGCCCCCAGCTCCTTTTCACAGGAGCAAAGGCTCTAAGGCCCTGGCAGAGGGGTCCCCAAGGCTCTTCCTGGGTCTCATGGCCTCACCCTCAGAGACCCCCTCAGGCAGTCCCCCCGCACTTGTGAGCAGGAATTGCTGTTTAGGTCCTGCCTCCCCATTCTCTACCCCACTGATGCCCCTGAGTCCTGGTCCAGAAATTGTGGCTCATGGACAGAGTGCTTCGGCATTTGGTGACTCAGAGGCACGGGGGAAGAGGAGCTGGGCCACCAGCTGGCACCTCACAAAGGACCAGCTGCTTGGGCATCCCCATTCTGGTATGACTCAGGACTGAAAAGGGCATATCAGGCCCCTGGACAGGGTTGGGAACGGGGGTCCTTATACTCAGGTGGGTTCCACCTGAGTGTCGACTGCCCTGCTGTGCCGACCTGGTGAGCATGGGGACAGACCCCTCTGGGTGCTCTGCCCAGGTTGTGACTATCTCCCTTAGGGTGTCCCTCATCTGCCATGTGTGATCTTGGTGGGACCCCTGTGTCCCCTAGATCAGGGACCAGCAAACTTTCTTTGAAGAGCCATACAGCTGTGTGAGCCAACAGCCTGTCTCCACAGCTCAGCTCTGCCATTGCAGCAGGAACACCACTATAGACAGTGCCTGAGCAGACAGGCAGGCAGAGTGCCAATATTTATGGACACTGAAATGTGAATTTTATGAAGTTTTTACGTCACAAATGCTATTTTTCTTGTATGTTTTTTCAACTCTTCACTAACATAAAACCATTAGTATGAGAACAAGCAGCTGGATGGAGTTGGCCCCCGGGCTGGAGTTTGCCAACCCCTGCTCTGGGGTTGGGGACCCCTAGGGTGGGCTGGGGAAGAGGGACACCTAGTCTGACCTGGTGGGAAGCTGGGCCCAGACACCTCGTGGTGTCCCATGGGGTTCTCTATCGAAAGGCCATGTCTCTGGACCTGGCTTGGTAGAAACAGGCCCTCCTGGAGCTTCCGTGTGGATGGGGGGATAGAGAATTAAACTGGCTGATGTGACCCGTGTAAAGTTGGGGTGCTGGGGAAGGAGGTGGTCGGTCAGGGAGGAGGTGACCTCTGGCCTGAGATCTGAGCGGCTGTGTGTGAGGCCAGGGAGTGGGAGTGGCTACCAGGCAGAGCGTGGCCTCCTGGCTGCTGTCTACCGACACGTTCCCCTCTCCCATACCCCCCAGAACCTCAACCAGAATCCGCGGACGCTCCTGCCCAAGTTCTATGGGTTGTACTGCGTGCAGTCCGGGGGCAAGAACATCCGTGTGGTGGTCATGAACAACATCCTGCCGCGCATGGTCAAGATGCACCTCAAGTTTGATCTCAAAGGCTCCACATACAAGCGGCGGGCCAGCAAGAAGGAACGGGAGAAGAGCATCCCCACCTACAAGGACCTGGACTTCATCCAGGACATGCCCGAGGGTCTCCTGCTGGACGCCGACACCTTTTCTGCACTCGTCAAGACGCTGCAGCGGGACTGCCTGGTGAGCCTTGGCCCCCGGCCCGCTGCCCCAACCCCACTGCAGAGGAGGAGCTTAGGGCCAGAGAGGCCCCCTTGCCCTGGCGAGTGCAGGTGGGTAAGGGCGGGGACCTTGGGACACACGCCCCTGTGTGGTCCTAAGCCTCTCTCAGCCTCAGCTTTCCCATCTGTGAACCGGCGATGCTGGTGAACGCTAGTGCAGAGTGAGCCCGAGATACATAGCCCGGCACCAGGCTCCCTTCTGCGCCCCTCGTCCCTGTGTCCTAATCAGACTGGAAGGTCAGGCCACTCCCCCTTTAGTGATGAAGAAACAGAGACCTGGCAAGGGGCGTCCCTGCCGAGGTCCTCAGCTGTCAGGGGCTGGACTGGGTCCTCTCTTGTCCTCTGCTCTCTGTCCCTGTCCCCTCAGCTCACAGACCCTGTGGAAAACTCCACACAGTTTCACCAGAAAACCACTTCGATGTCTCAGGGCCTTTCGGCGTCTGGGGGGTTCATCCCCCGAGCCTGATGGTCACGTGCCTGGACTCCACTCTGGGGCTGGAGTGGGTGTTGCATCCACAGCACCCAGGCTCCCAACTGCGCCAGGGAAGTGGGAGCGCAGAGTCAGCTGCTCTGTCTCAGGAGAGGAAGCTTTCTGTCCGGTCTCAGAGAGGCAGCCTGGCTTAGGGTTACACCCACCCCCTAGGCCACCCTAGGGGCCAATCCCAGCTCTGCCGCCATCTGCCTGCTGCACAGCCTGGCCTTCCACCCTTGGTCTCCTTGTCTGTGAAATGGGGATAGCAATAGGGTCTCCCTGCGTGGCTGTGGAGACTGAATGGACAGAGATGCAGGATGCGCAGCTTGAGATCACCACCAGGTTTAGGGGCAGGGGGATGGGGACAGGGCGTGTGTCCTGACGCTCTCCCCCACACACACTCGGTAGGTGCTGGAGAGCTTCAAGATCATGGACTACAGCCTGCTCCTGGGTGTGCACAACATCGACCAGCAGGAGCGGGAGTGGCAGGCGGAGGGTGCCCAGAGCACGGCGGATGAGAAGCGGCCGCTCGGTCAGAAGGCGCTCTACTCCACAGCCATGGAGTCCATCCAGGGCGGGGCCGCGTGTGGGGAGGCCATCGAGACGGATGACACGTAGGTAGTGGGGCTGGCGGGGCTTCCAGCTCTTGTCTCTACCCACCCCTCTGGCCAGGTGTGAACATGGGCAGGGGGAGCTGGCACAGAAGGCAAGCAATGACAAAGCAAACCGGGCAGAAGCCTGTCTGTGGCCAGTTTCTGGTCTGTGCACAGGCACAGCGGGGTCTGCCCACCAGGCCCGGTGAAGGTCAGACAGATGACGCACAGCTATGGCCAGGGTGTCTCGACCTCGGCAGACACTGATCAGTGGATTCAGGCCATTGTCCATCCACATGGGAAACATAGAGGTCCCCTCCCTCCTGCTGGACCCCACTGTGTGAAGCACAGCTAGACAGATATTGAAAGGTGGCACAGGATATGGAGATGTCTGGGGATGGGAGAGCCCCTTTATAGCAAGATACCTAACCCAGAACCCACCGATGGGAGGATTGAGAGCGTTGCTTCCCCAAAGATAAAAGGTGGCCGTGCCAAATGGCAAGGTCATAGAGAGGAGCATGTCCCGACTGCACCCCCTCAGCCTCAACCTCCCAACCTGATCCTGCCCTGGGGGCTTGGTCAGGGAGACAGACTCACGGCATGTCCCCCTTCCTCAGCACTGGGGACACTGAGGCCTTCTCATTCTCTGTGGGGCACTCTCCTGGACACGGGTACTGAGCAGCATCCCTGGTCCCTACCCACTTGATGCCACCAGTCCCCCCGGCCGTGATAACCACAGATATCCCCAGGCATGTCCCAGTGTCCCTTCAGGCAGAGTCATCCCGGGTAAGAACTGCCATAGATGGGTCAAGATTGTTCATGAGCCATGCACTGACCATGCTGGGAACCAGTTGGACTCTCTACATTACCCTGTTCTGTCCTTACGGGGGCCCTGGAGGAGGAGGGGCCACCTCCCCATCTGTAGCTGGGGAAAGAGGCTCAGAGATGGGATGGAGATAGCTATCCTGTGTGCACAGCCAGCTTGACCCCAGCCCGGCCACTGCACTAGGCCACCAGCTGTGGAAGGCAGAGGGAACCAGGCCCAGGGCTACGACTGAGCAAGGTGGGAGGGAGTGGCATGTGCAAAGGCCCTGCACAGCTGGCCCTGACCTCAGACCATCCTGGCATGTTTTTAGGATCTGCACAGGGCCTGGCAGGGGATGGCAGGGCATGCAGGTGAGCTCAGCAGTGCATGGAGTGCAGTGAGCAGAGCCTGATGTTGGTGGGTTTGGGTTTAGCTGCTGCATCATGTAACCTCATTAACCATCTGGGCTGGGCATGTTCAGGATTGAGGCTACGTGAGGCAATTAACTCCCCCGACTACACCCAAGAGCCCTTGCTGTCCTGCCTGGGAGTGTGCGTGTGCATATGTGTGCGTATTATGCGTGTGTGTGTGTGTGTGTGTGTGCGCGCACACACTATGAGTGTAACTGTGTGAGCAACTGTGTGTATGCATATACATGCATATGTGTGCAGGTTGCATGAGTGCATGCAAGTGCACCGTGTGTATGTATGTATGTGTGCACCTGGGCCTCTTAGCTGTGACCCTTCAGCAGCCTCAGGCCTCCAGCTTTGAATTTGAGCTGCCTAGTAGAGCTGCTCCATCCCATGCCAAGATGGGGGTCCCCTGTGCTGGGACCCCCGCTGAAGGTCCAGCCAAGCTACGACCTATAGGGGTCATGCGGATTTTTAAAAATATTTTTTAATTGATTTCTGAGAGGAAGGGAGAGATAGAAACATCGATGAGAGAAGCATTGGCTGGCTGCCTCCTGCACGCTCTCTGCTGGGGATCGCACCGCAGCCTGGGCCTGTGCCCTGACCAGGAACCACACCTGTCCTCCTGGTTCATAGTCTGCCTTCAACCACCGAGCACGCCACCCGGCTCATGTGGATTCTTTTTTTAAAAAAATATATTTTACTGATTTTTTACAGAGAGGAAGGGAGAGGGATAGAGAGTTAGAAACATCGATGAGAGAGAAACATCGATCAGCTGCCTCTTGCACACCTCCTACTGGGGGTGTGCCCGCAAGCAAGGTACATGCCGTTGGCCAGAATTGAACCTGGGACCTTTCAGTCTGCAGGCTGATGCTCTATCCACTGAGCCAAAATGGTCAGGGCTCATGTGGATTCTTGAACCCCAGGCTCCTCTCTCCTTTCCCCCTTGTCTCTCCCCAAGTCCCAGTCCAGGATTGGGGCCCCAGCCCCCTCCCACCTAGACCTGAGCAGGTGGGGCCAGTCCCTGGTCCTCTGGCCTGGATGTGTGGGTGATGGCGCTCTGGGCTCCTCTCTCTGCAGGATGGGTGGGATCCCCGCCGTGAATGGCCGCGGGGAGCGCCTGCTGCTGCACATCGGGATCATCGACATCCTGCAGTCCTACAGGTGGGTGCCTGGTCCCCCGGGTGCACCTGCTCAGGGAGGCCGGGTGCTGTCTGCTTGCAGGGCTCTCTTGGCCTTCCGGAAGGCTCCTGTTGGCCGCCCTCCTCCCCAGCCCTCCCGTAACGGGAGCATTTGGTCCCCAACCTAGAGGTTCCACCCCCGGAATCTAAATTTGTCCTAGGGACTCAGTAATGTCGAAGACAGGTCAAGGCCGATTTCTTCTTTGCGTGCTTCTCTTTTAAATGCAGCAGGTCCTTGAACAACATCATTTCGTTCAACATGGTCGCATTATAACATTGCTGAGCTGCCTAGGAACATAACTCATGTTTGTATCAGTTAGCCTGTGGTAACGTTGTTTTTGTTACACATTGTTTCCGTTAGCCTCAGAACCTGTAAGTGAGGACTGACTTTGTAAAAATCGGCTCCTGCCCTTCAACTTTCACAGCCTGTTTTTTGTTTTGTTTTGATTTGTTTTGTTTTCATATGGGAGGGTTGACCTTGTCTCCTGTAGGCATCTTTCTGCAAGATCTCCCTCCGGTTGGAGCAGGATTAGGTAGCTTTTGAAGTAGCCAGCCAGGATTTCTGCCCAGGCCCCGGGGGACAGGGGCGGGGGGGCGGGGGGAGGAGTGGTAGCACATGGCAGCAAATAAGTGGGGGTAGTGGTGTCATAAGGAGGGATTCCTCCCCCACAGACAAGGGGCATCCAGGAAGGCTGCAGGGGGGAGATGGCATTGTACTCAGCTCAGATGTGTGATAGCGTCCTGGCTGGGGGCCATGGTTCAAGGCACTGACTCTAGGAGAGAGGAGCCTGGCTCCGTCTAGGCCAGGAGGAAAGAGGAAAGGCAGGCTCTGGGAGGCACTAGCAGTCTGTCCGCCACGGAGGGCCAGGCACCCTGGCCCTTTCACTTTCTTCTCCAGATCAGCGGTAGTGGGAGCGGACAGCTTTAGTTTCTTTAAACCAGGGCTGCTTCGCCTGCTTGAAGCCAGGAGCACCTGCAGTTGTGATGACCACAAATGTCCCCAAACATTGCCTAGTGTCCTCTGGGGACAGGATTGCCCTGGTAGAGAACTCCTGGGCCCAATGATTTGGCTGACGTTCTGGGTGCTTTTTCTCTGCCAGGTTCATCAAGAAGCTGGAACACACCTGGAAGGCACTTGTCCACGATGGGGTAAGCGTCATTCATTCATTCACTCACTCATTCATTCCATCTGTCAGTTCACAAGTGCAGTGACCATCTCCCTGCCAGGCACAGGTGCTAAAAAACTGAGAGACATGTCCCCCCTTCCTGGAGCAGCTGTACAGCAGAGGTGGCCCTGTGACCAGGCAGTCACAGGGCAAGGGGTCAGCGGGTCTGAGCCATCTATGAGGGATACAGGAAGACTTCCTGGAGGAGGGGACCCCCAAGCTGATTGGAAGGCTTCCCAAGGACAGCCTGACTGGGAAAGTCAGGGGCCAGCCAAAGAAGAATCTGGAACTGTGCAATGTGAGGGGGTCTTGGCCCAGGGGCAGCACCACACAGCTCTGACTCCTGTTGCCAGGTGGGCATGTGGCCCACTTCAGCAGAACATCTCCGTTGCTTGAGCAAAGCTTGCAATGCAATTTTTCCTGAGCACTGCCAACATGGAAACCCTGGCAGTGAATTAATTCTAAATATAAAAAAAACTGTGAGAACCAACCACTGGGAGCCAAACAGCCCACTTGTGGGACCCTGGCAGCCCTCACACTCCTGGTCCAACTCTGGCAACAGCCAGCCCTGGTAGATAACTTTCCTTCTATGGCACCCCCCTTTTCAGACCAATTCTTACTAAAGTGTTAAGGGCTATCCATTTGCCTACAGTCTGTAAAATGCTAAGATCCCAATCTACAATCCTCCACACCCCTCAGAGAGTGTTTGGATGGTCAAGTGGGAGCTTCCAGAATGTGCATTGAGAAGATCCAGGTGGCCAACCAGCAGGAGGCTCTTTTTTTAAAAAAAAAAAAGAGAGAGAGAAAAAGTGTGTGTGTTTTCATAATTGATTTCAGAGAGAGTAAGGGAGAGGGAAGAGGGATAGAAACATCAATAATGAGAGAGAATCCCCAGTGTGGGGCATACAGGAAGCAGCCAATCAATGATTCTCTCGCATCATTGATGTTTCTCTATCTCCCTCTCTGAAATCAATAAAAGTACATTTTAAAAACAACATCAAAAACACTTTACTTACAAAACAGGTGTTGGGCCATGCTCTGACAACCCCTGATGTAGAAAATCCCTCTGGTTCCTTAATTTTGATATTTATCCGTTTACTTTGAATAGCTATTTGTTCTTTGAATAATCATTCACATGGCTCAAAAAATTACAAATACAGATAGGGTTACAATGTAACAATCTTCCACACCCCTTCCTGCCACTCTTACCTGATTCCCTGGGTCCCCTCCAGAAAGCCCGTGCTGTGACCCTCTTATCCCCTCCACAGAGGAGGCGCACCCCACCCCCCACCCCCCACAGTGGTCTGTTCCGGGCTGTCCTGTGGGACACAGGGAGCCATAGTGCTCACACCCCTGCTTGCCCTCGGCCCCCACATCTCTTCCCAGGACACCGTCTCCGTCCACCGGCCCAGCTTCTACGCCGAGCGCTTCTTCAAGTTCATGAGCAACACAGTCTTTCGGAAGAACTCCTGTGAGTTTACTGCCTTTTGAGCAGGAGGGACCTGGGGTGTGGAGAGAGGCGAGCAGGCAGCCAAGAGTGCGGTAAACCCGGTGCCTCGTTCTGCTGCTTGGTCAGCCCCGGGGCTCAGTCAGGGACTTGGTCCCGAGAACAGGGCAGTCAGGCAGCCGCGCCACACAGGTCAGCACAGGGCCTGGTGCCCATGTCCACGTTTGAGTTCTGGCTTCGCCTCATTCTGTCTGTGGACCTCCAGCCAGTAGAGATCACGGTCCTCAGTTTCCCCCCCTGTACAGAGCTGTGAGGGCAACATGTGTTTCATACAAGTCCAGTGCCAGCATTCAGCGGGGCTGCCCATAGCCTCACTCTATCACTAAGGACATGTGAGTTTGGTGGCACTGAGATGGTCATTGGCCTAACTAGACATTGTCAGGGAAGGTTACAGGGTGAGCGGTAATGGCTCTCGCTCTGTGGGTGGTCTCCGGAGGCCCCACATGTGTACTGGGCCTGGAGGGTCCCTGACCCTGGTGCACGCACGCCCCAGGCTGAGATCCCATGTGCCATCCAAAAGAGTCTTGCTTCCAACGTGTCTGTGTGTCTTCTACCTCTCAGCCCCTCCAAAAACTGCAGGGTGCTTGCTGGCCTTGGTCACTGTCCCCAGTGTCCAGCGTGGGGCCTGGTACATAGTAGGGACTCAGTGTGTGTCTGTGTGCCTCCTCCCCAGGTCTCAAACCCTGTGGTGTGCTCCACACGTGGGACCACTCTCCCAGCCCAGCCCAGCCTAGGTGGGCTGCAAGCCAGCCCATCTCCTGGAGTTGGCTCATGAAGCTGAGGCAGCTCCATGGTCTGTGACATTTAGTCAGTAGCTTGCAACTGACTGGGGGGAACATTTATACCATGAAAATAGGCCAACACCACAAATCCGGCTTTGTCTCCAAAGAGATGTGTGTTAACTTGACCAGCACACCACTTCCTGGGACCTTCTTGGGATGTTATTCCCACTGTAGCCCCGAGGAGAGTGCTGGTTTGGGGGGCTGAATGGTTGTGCACAGGAAAAATTGAGCACCTAGTGTGTGCTGGGAGCTGCGCCGGCCACCAGGGAGCAAGGAGAGGACGGTGACGGGTGATGACAGGCCAGGCCTGGTGCAGAGTGTTACGGGGCTCCCTGCCTCACTTGACCTTGTTGCAGACGAGGATGCTGGGGTCAAGAGAGGCTGAGCTAGGTCCCCCAGGCCACACAGCCTGGCTGGGGACCAGGTCCTTGGCGCTGAGCCTTGCACTCCCCAGGGCTTTCCGTTTTCTTGTGTGAATGTTGGGCACAGCGATGGTAGGCTGGGACAAAGGGGATGGGGCCCCAAAGTGCTCAAGTAAACATGGGCAGCTGCTGCTTCTGGAGGGCCAGGAGCGGAGGTGCTGGGTTCCATCTCTATCGGTGGCAGAGCCAGGTGGAAAGCAGGGCAGGGCTTTCTCCAGGAAGAGCATTGCTTCCTGAGCACGTCATCCCACTGCCTCCAGGCCCCAGGCTGAAGGACAGGCTGGAACCGGAACAGTGAGGGCCATATGTACAGGTGGTGGCCCCTCGGTGCCCACCACACTTTCACGCAAAGGAGAGACGGAGGTCTGTGGGGCCCTGCCTTGTCGCCGCCCCAAGCACATCAACCACTCTCCCTCCCCAGCCCTGAAGTCATCACCATCCAAGAAGGGCCGCGGTGCCTTGTTGGCCGTCAAACCCCTGGGGCCCACAGCTGCCTTCTCAGCCAGCCAGATCCCCAGTGAGCGGGAGGACACGCAGTACGACCTGCGGGGCGCCCGCAGCTACCCCACGCTGGAGGACGAAGGTGACTGGGCAGTGGGAGTGGGCATTTGTGAAGGAGAAATGAGGCAGCTGCTGGAAAGACACCATCCCTAGGGGGTGAGGGGGAGGGATGCAGGGAGCAACAATAGCAATGCGTGTGAGGAAAGGGACCCCCGCAGCTGGGCTAAGCCCGAATGGGAGGGGTCCCCTTCCAGTTCAACATCTGCGGCACCTGGGGAGTAGGGAACAGCTGGGACGAGGCCAGGAAGACCTGTGGGGAGAACTAAGCATAGAACGCGCCGCCCTGGGAGGTGACACAGGCCTAGAAGGAGGAAGTGCTCAGTGGGTTGGGCCTGATGTTCTGGAGGTCCCTCCAAGCAACCAGGGTTGAAGATTCCAGTCAGGGAGGGGCTGGGGAATAGCATCAAGGGAGAAACTGCATGCGCAAAGGTCCTGGGGCCGGACGGTACCTGGTGTGTTGGAGGAACAATTAGGAGGCCCGTGTGGCTGCAGCCGAGTGAGTGTGAGGGAGGAGGTGAAGGCAGGGAGGTGATGAGGGCAGGTAGGGCAGGACCGAAGGGAGGCAGTTTGGATTTTAGTTTGAGAGCAGCAGGAAGGTACTGGAATCCCTTGTGCTGGGGAAAACTGTGAGTGCCAGTGGGAGCTGCAGTAGAGCCCAGAGGCCTGCAGCAGGCCCTGGAGCCTGGCTCCCATAGGTACCCACTGCCTCCTCCCCACAGGCCGGCCTGACCTCCTGCCCTGCACACCACCTTCTTTTGAGGAGGCCACCACTGCATCCATCGCCACGACCCTGTCATCCACATCCCTGTCCATCCCAGAGCGGTCCCCCTCAGAGACCTCAGAGCAGCCAAGGTACAGGTGAGCAGAGGGGGGCCCCGGAGGTGGGGGCGGCTCAGAGGTAGGGCTGCATTCCTAAGAGGAGGGGCCAGCACAGGGCCTGGGAGGGGTGGGGCAGGTGGGGAGGCCTTCCTACCGTTTCCATCTATCCCACCTGTTTGTGTTCTCTCGGAAGGCGGCGCACACAGTCCTCTGGACAGGATACCCGGTAAGATGAGCCCCAGCCCCTCCCTTCCAGTCTCCTCTCTAGTCCCCACAGTCTCCCCAGCTTCTCCCTGCAGAGCCCCTTTGCCCCTCTTTCCGCCCTCCCCTTCCCTCTGCACAGCTCACCCCTCCACATTTCCACCCAGAGCCCCTCTTTCCTGGGGACAGATTTATTTTAACGATCAATCTTCAGGCTCTAGAGCCACACAGAATCTCGAGTCACTTTGTGTTTCTCCTACCTGGGTGCCCCCTCCCCTGCACCTGTTAAACCTTTCTTTTTCTTTTTTATTCTAAGAGATGTAAAAGCGCACACAGTGAGTTGCCTGCCTCTGCTCCATGCCCAGTCCCTTCCCTGGGAGCACCCCCTAGATGTTTTTCCCTCTCTCTGGAGGTAGTTTATGAATATACAAGCAAACACACACTCAGGCCTGTTTCTCCCTTTTGCTTTGACAGAAGCTGTGGCTCTGTGCCCCTGTTCCTTGCTTTGTCACTTCCACATGAAGGTTGTTGCTATGAGCCTTTGCTGGTTCTCTTCCTTCTCTTTTTTTAAAAATATGTTCTTATTGATTTTTAGGGAGAGAGAGAGGGAAAGGAAGAGGGATAGAAGGAAACATTGACGAGAGAGAAACATTATCAATCAGCTGCCCCCTGCACACCCCCTACTGGGGATCAAGCCCACAACCCGGGCATATGTCCTCACTGGGAATTGAACTGTGACCTCTTGGTTCCTAGGTTGATGCTCAATCACTGAGCCACACCAGCCAGACAGTTCTCTTCCCTGTAACAGATTGTTCCTGCTCTCGGGGACATTTGGGTTGTTCCCAGTTGGTTGACCTTGTCACACAGCTGTAGTGAATAGGGGTTGCTCTCCACAACTAGCTTTTGGGAGGATAATTCTTTCCAGTTGAAAAAAAGTCACGGCACAAAGCACATTTAGCGAAAAGTACATCTCCCTCTGTCCAGCTGCCTGCTGGCTGCCCAAAGGCTCCCACCACCTTCAACAGGGGCCTCAGCTTCTGGGCCCCCAAACCACCCCACCCCTAGTTCAGGTGCTAGGCAGGTTCCAAGCCACCCCAGGAATAGGGGCAGGATTCTTGTCACCAGTCATTCATTGTGCCCCTGCTGGTGCCAGAGTCCCAGGACAACCCCAAGTGAACGGTCGTTTGCTGTCCCCTCAAAGCCCCTAGCTGGCGTGGCAGCCAAAAGGACTAGGCCTGAGCTGGACCAGCTTAGGGCCCTGGTTGGTTGGCACCTAGAGACAGCACCTCAGACCCCATGGGACTGAAATCAGCACCTGCCCAGGGCTCAGCTGGAGTTCCTGGCAAGTGAGGTGGGAGAGGAGGGAAATTGAGCATGTCATCCCACTGCCTCCAGGCCCCAGGAGGAGGCACGCGTAGAGGAGGACCTGCAGCAGATCACAGTGCAGGTGGAGCCCGCATGCAGTGTGGAGATAGTGGTCCCCAAGGAGGAGGAAGAGGGGTGAGTGACCATCCAGTCCATGTGGTCCATGCTCTCCTGTTGCCTGGTTTCTGTACTCAACTTCTGCCCCAATCTCTTTGGCTGAGCATGGTCACATGGCCAGCTGGCAGCAAGGCAGGCTGGGAAATTTGTTCTGGGGAGCAGAGGCATGGGAATGGGACTTCAGGAACTGAGGTGCTGGGGAGCATAGTTGCACTCACAGAGCTGCATGTGATGTGTCAGTCCAGGGATGTACCTCGGTGGTGATATGCGATTCTCTCTCCTCCCTTCCCTCACTCTTAGCCTTGCCTGCACTTGCAAGAGGATGACAGGCCAGTTTCTTCAGAGGACCACTTTTGGTCTCAGTCACCCTCATATTTTGTTCTTGTTTCATCACTTTAAGTCATCAGTAATTTTTTTCTTCTAACTTCTGATTTGTTTTCTCATTTGTTTCTTTTACTTCGGCATAGGTTGGGTGCTTAAGTTCCTTTTTTCTTTCTTTGATAAGAGGCACTTAAGGCTATGCATTTTCCTCTGAGTGCTGCTTTTACTGTCCCAAGAATTTTGACGTGAAGCGGTTCCTTTTTATGCTGGCTCTTTATGGATAGTTAGTGATTTTCCCTTTAAGGTCCTCTTTGATCTAAGGCAGTGAGGCTTTCAGCTACCTGGGGGTGGTCCTGCCCCCTGATGACAATGGGCAATGTCTGGGGACATCTGTGGTTGTCACAACTCGGGGTGCTCCTGGCATTGAGTGGGTGGGGGCCAGAGATGCTACCCAATACCCCACAGTGCCCATGACAGCCCCCCACAGAGAGTGACCCAGCCCTGATATCAGCAGTGCTCAGGGAGAGAGACCATGGACTGAGGTTTACTGGTATTTAGGAGTCTCTGCACTTCTGGGTCCCTAAGGATTCTTTTTACCCTTTTAGTACTTAACTCTAATTTTACTTTTGAGTTGAAAAGTGGCCCAAAACAACCTATGCTATGTTTTAAAACAGATTAAAGTCTATGGTCACGTACATACAACATTAGTTTTTTGGTTTTATGGTTTTTAATATCCATGGACATATGGGAGAAATGTGTATTTTTGCCAGGGAATGGAAAGTTCTCTGTCCTGTCAATGTATTGATTTTGTCAATCAGTTTCTTTGTCTTAACTTATTTCTCATCTGTTTGGTCTATTTAATTTTATAATTTAGAATTTCTGTTCTATTTTTATTTTATTGTATTTTTTGCTGTCCTATTGTAAGAGACCTTAGCATTTACACCGCATTCCCAGGCTTCACTTTGCCATTAGAGTTTATTTTCCACGCACACATGCCACTCCAGTCTCTGCCCCTGTGCTTTTTGCCATTAACTGCAGTCTCGCAGTGTAACATATCGCTCAGTCTTCGCCCAGAGAAACAACCTGACCTGAAACATGACTGAAGAACAACTTCACCACCGTTGGGAATGCTCTGTCACCTGAGAGCTTGTCATTTATTCATGAAATGAAAATTACGTAGCAATCACATAGCCTTCAGCTGAGGCCTGGGCATCATTCTCACCATCTCTCTTAGTCTCAGCCTCCTCACCTGTGCTAGGGAACAGCAGCAAACCCTTCCCAGGGAGATCAGTGGGTTCATTCACACGAGGCTCTTGAGCAGGCTCAGCATATCGTAAGTGCTCAGACCTGCATGTCCCCACTTTACAGATGAGGAACTGAGGCTCAGAGAAGGAAAGTGAGGCTTTACGTTCACCCAGCTCTCTATAGAGGGTGCAGTGGGAGTGAGTGGCTAGGCCAGGACAGTTTGTGTGCCTGTGTTGAGGGGAGAGGTCCGGGTAGGCCAGTTATTACTTGGACCACGACAAAACGGGCGGTGTTCAGTTTTATTTGGCTTCCTAAGACTTGTCTCCGCGGTGACACACGGATGAAGGGGGGCAGGAGGGTGAGAGGGAGTGGGCGAGGAAAGGATGGACTGCTGAGGGCCTGGCCAGGCCTCCCATGTCCTGCCCTGTCCCCAGGGTGGAGGCTTCCCCGGCCAGCACCTCTGCCGTTGTTGTTGAAGCTGAAACCGCCAGCCAGGCTTCAGAGCCCGCCAGCCAGGCCTCGGATGAGGAGGACACGCCCGCCACCGACATCTACTTTGTAAGTCCTCCAGGGGCTCTCTCTCATCACAGGGCCCTCGACCCACATGTGCTCATGTATGCACATTCGCTGACATGCCCACACACCTGGACACACATTGCACACACTATCATACCCGTATACCCATGTCTGTACACATGCACATGTGTACACATGTTCACAGCACACACTCCCGCATTTGCACACGTTCACACGGACATGGACACGCTCACACACTCACATTTGAGAGGCGCACACACCTGCATATGTTTTCGCACACCACACTCACATGCTCTTACATGCCGACGGCACTCACGTGGCATACTCTTGAACACATGCACACTCACGTGGCATGTGAGCTCCCTGCCTCAGACCCAGGCCAGGCCCAAGGCCAGGAAACGTCCCTGGGCCTTGCTCCCCAGACCTTGTGACCACTGCCTGGCAAGAGCCAAGGCCCCAGCTTTGCCACCCGGTCCCCCTGGGAATCACCCGAGTCCTCACACTCTCAGCCCCAGTGGGCCCTGGGTCCTGGGTCTGTGCTGGAAACGCTGTGGATCTTCTCCTCCTGGGTGAGGGGTGGCTGGGTGGGCTCTGTCCTTAAGGGGGCAAGGGAAATGTGGCAAGGGGCAGGTGGGCCTCATGCCTTCGTCTTCCCTGGCCGAGGACAGGCGGCTGTTCCTGAACAAGGCGGGGTTCATCACAGCAGGAAGGGGCGAGTCCCAGAGACCGGGGCCTCCCTCCCAAATCTGGGGTCACCTCCCCCCTTTACATCTCCTGTAGGCACAGATTAGATGAGCCGGGAGCCTGGGTGAGGTAGGTACTGGGTGGCCAGGAGCTGCAAAGTCTAGTCCACTGGCCCTTGATGGTGGGTCAGGGGTCAGATGGCCCCAGTTGCAACAGAGAATGCCCGATGCTGCAGCCCAGCTGCCTGCCCTCTTCCCAGACCTCCATTTTCATCTCTGCCTCCCAAGGGAAGGTGAGCTGCGGGCTGCCCTGGTCCTGGCGCCTGGCCTCAAACCTCCAGGCCTGGGTGGGCCTGGCCCTCTGCTGCTATCGCTGCTTCTTAACTACCACCACCTGCTGTCCTGAGCCAGTGCCGCTGGGTCACAGGGCCCCTGCCAGGAACTGTAGGGGGCACACTATATGCTGTCCTCCCTACCAGCCATCATTTTCCCATCCCTGGGGCTTGACTTTTGTCCTGTTCTCTCAAAGTGTGTGTGAGGTGGTTGGGCTATGTCCTGTGAGTGGGTGGCTGGACCACAATGGGTAGCAGAGAAGGTAGAGGCCACAGTGTGACCCTGACACCCCCAAACTCTCCTACTGCTTTGCCATTGGCTCCCTGCCCCGCCTGGCACCCTCTCCACCTGACCTTCCTGACCTCAGCTGGATTCTGCATTCCTGTCCCCTCATCCTGTCCTCTCTTTGCCTCCTCCGCCCTCCCGGCCCACCCAGTTCACGGATGGGAGGTACTGGATTTACTCTCCCCGGCATCGCCGACTGCGGGCCATGACGCTGAGCTCCTCGGGGACTGTAAGTGACACAGCAGGCCTCCAGGAAGCCCAGCCCCTGCCCCTCGGAGAAGGGACTTGGGGAAAGTAATCATGATAACTGTGCAGGTGCCCTGCGGTGTGTGTCCTGCAGGGATGTCACTTAATCTCCTGTGAAGTTAGCATCAGTGGCCAGCAGGTGCACGGCTGGTGCTCAGCGGGCCTGGCCATGGTGGAATCTACATTTGAACCCCAGCCCCAGGCCACCTCTTCCCAGCCCTTCCAAGCGAGGGACAAATCAGGCGGACACTGATCATTCATTAAGACTTTCCTTCTGATGGCTCCCCAAGGGGCATCTGCCTTTCTGATGGGGATGGTCACATGGGTCAATAAGGGATGCAAAGCTGACTCTTAGCTACAGGAGAGAGGAGCTTTTATCTTCATACCCATTTCACAGATGGAATAACTGAGGCCTCTGCTCCTCAGGGAGCCCACAAGAGCACACAGTTTAAACAAATTCTGAGTCCAGCTTTTGTGTATAGTCAACACTCATCCACCCAGGGGGATACTATGTAGATGTCATGCAGCAATGGCCTTATCAGTCCTGTTATTGTCATTATGAGCAACAAATGAAGGGCCCAGAGAGGCCAAGTAACCTGCCCAGAGCCGCACTGTGTGAATGGGTGGAACAGGGTAAAGAACTGGAGAGAGTTTCTGTTCTCAAGAGGAGGCTCACACCACAGCCCCAACAGCAACCCCCCTGCTTGCCACTGGGTGTCAAGACTACTTCACCACTCCCTCCTGCCACACTGTCCTCCCAGAATGGGGATGCCATCCCCCAGAGGTGACTTCATGACCCATCAGCTGGGGACACACAGCAGCCCCCGGTGGTCCCTGGGGGGAGCAGTTTGCAGAGGTGCCTCGAGGGGGTTGACCTGGACTTTAAAAGATACGTGGGGTGTGGAAATGAAGAGGA